GTACTGACACCTGATGTTGAATATCAAGGGGAGTACTGACACCTGGTGCCAAATATCAAGGGGAGTACTGGCACCTAGTACTGAATATCAAGGGGAGTACTGGCACCTAGTACTGAATATCAAGGGGAGTACTGGCACCTAGTACTGAATATCAAGGGGAGTACTGGCACCTGTTTTTCCCTATTTCAAGCATTGAATTGGAATAATACAAATGATTAAGGAAGGGGTTCAATGGATTGTGTTGCTTTATTTTTGTTAGGGTTTGTTAGATGAGTTGTGTTGGTTGGTTGATGATGTAACAGTGCAGTAATTCCACCTCCATTGACAGCTGTCATGCAAATCATCTTATTGTCCCTTTTTGAAAGGTGACACACTGGGCTGACATGTGGATGATGTGTTGACAGCGATGACATGGCTGTGAGCTGAAGACTGGATCACTAAGGCGATTTACTGGATAAATCTGTTGTGCCCTGAAATAATGATGAAAGGCATTAAGACATTCCAGGTGACAGTGTCATGTCTGTTTTGAGCTAGTGAGGTCTCAATCTCTGCTTCCTCCAGCTGCTGAGATCTTGCTTACATCACACCTGACAGTGCGACTGACTTTATGAAGAATATGAGTTTCACATAAACTTTAAGTTGATGAACGCCTTCACTGCACTGTGCTAAACTCTTAGTTGGTTCTTTGTGGCCAGATAGTCTCCACTTGGTGGAAACATCCTTCCATTGTATCATACCCATACTGTGCTATGTGCTCTACTGTTCTGTCCCATTAAGAATGATGGATCCAAACATTACCTATAAAAGTGTGCATGTGCTTTCTAGAATGGAACAGAATGACATTGAGCTTCTGGCCTTTGTCAGTCACACAATGACAAGGTTCACTGATGAAGGGAGCTGACTCAGCAGCTTAGGGTGCTATGCCTGTCATCAGAAGGTTGCCGATTCAAATCCCACACTCGACGGAGTGATTTCACCTTTAGGCCCTTAGCACCCCAGCTGCTCGTGAGATTATCTGACCCTGCTTTCTCAGAAATGTCTCTCGCTCAATAAATTTGCTCAAAAAATAAAATGCAAATGTAAGCCTTTTCTGGTAACACTCTGGAATATATGATTTATGATTCTGAAATGAATTTTTCCTCTATTTTGTATTGTGATGTACTGTTCCATAATGAATGCAGAATGTTGTGTTCTTTGTGAGGTTGCCTGCTTTGTGTAACCGCTTTGTGTAACCTGGGTCACGACGACCAGGCTTCTGCTGGGACTGGAATGCTAACAATAGCATAGCTTATGGGACAGTCACCGGGAGACGAGGCCAAGGTGGCACTAGGGTGGTAAGGAGAAAGGCTGACGTGATGGTGTGAGGCAGTTCAGGAGGCAAAAGGGAGGAGAGATGACACTTAGGAGAGGTCATGGTCTCAGCTGGAGGGATGACGTTTCATCTCAACATCTCCTGGTGAGGGCCTCTGTGGCAGCATGTCATGCAGGTCACTCCAGACCTCTCTGTCCAAAGCCACAGCTTCTGGCTCCTTCTGGGGCTTCCTCAGATGTTAAAAAGCCAGATGAGAGGTATAATTCCTCCTCCAGCTTGTCCTGACTCTGCCTCGGGGTCGCTTCCCAGCTGGTGACGTTCCTGAAACTGCTCCCTTCAAAGCCGATCTGCAGGCATCCCAATGAGACGCCCAGACTGCCGCAGAGGAATCCTCCAAAGAAGCAGCAGTTCTATTTCCAGTTCCCTCCTCATCTCCAAACTCCTCAACCCGTCACAGTCCAGCAACCCTACAGAGAAACCTCATTTTGGTCACTCGTGCTAGTGACATTGTTCCTTCTGTCAACACCCACAGCTCATGACCATAGATGGGGACAGAGATAAATACATTGACTTCAGCGACACACACATCTAACGAACTGATCCACCTGCCAATATCAAGTTCCCTCTTCCCGTCGCTAAGGAACAGGTTCCCAAGGTACAGTATCTGAATTCCCTTTGGGCCAAATCCCCCCCACTACCACCCCACAACCACCACCCCCTGAAAGGGGTGATCAACCTTTTTCTGAGAGAGCATCACAGTCTCCAATTTATTCAATGCTTCACACCCAGCACTGATCCAAGTACACGATGGTCACGATGAGTTCAAAAGCTCAACATCAAGCCTGATCCACCAGATGTTTCACCAGAAAGATCCTATCCAGCAGGTTCCTCCGCCACTGGAGCATAACTGGAGAAAGGACTCACCTCCCCCTCCTGAGGAACAGAATATTTTGTTAAAACATCACTGCGTCCACAGGCTTTC